ACACACACACACACACACACACACACACACACACACACACACACACATTCACTTCCTCTGGTCCCCTTTCTCTTCTACTCAAGATCTGACACCCTTCACTCCATCCTGCTACAGAAGATGGGAGTTGAACACAGGCAGGTTCACCAGACGACAGTCAGACATACTCAGACGGGAAGAGAAGGGCAAATAAGGAAGTTCTCTCCAAAGTTAAGAGTTAGGTAGTGTCAAAGGCATGGGACAAAGTTGCCCAAATAGTGGCATTATGCTAAACAATGGTATGAATTAAGTGGATTGAGACTACATTTGTCCTTGGAGGCAGCTAGGGGGCGCAGCGGGTAGGACTTGGAGAAACAGAGACCTGAGTTCAAATGACATTATACCTCAGACACTTATTAGCTGTGTGACCCTGGTCAAGTCACTTAACTTTTCCTAGACCTAGTTTTCTCATCTGTAAAATGAAGGGATTGTACAAGATGGCCTTCAAGGGCCCTTCCAGCTCCAAATCAATGATCCTGTGAGAAATAATGTCTGGTATCCCCAGCATCTAACAAAGTGTCTGATGGATGGTGGGTACTTGATTGCTTGGCTGATTGGTATGCACAATGATTTTTTTTAATCCTACCCTTACTATCTGAGAGTTTCTTCCCCCACAGTGGCAAAGTGGTTGAAGTAAAAGTATAGCTTCCAAAGTAGCAATTTTGAAGGGGATAATGCTCATCATTTGTAAATGTAAAGTCCAAAACGGCAAAATTTGAACTCAGGTCCCTCTGACTTCAAAACAAAGTTCTTTTCATTATACCATGCTGCCTCTCAACGATAGCCTGGGCTTGTGGGAAACCCAAGTCCTTGCTATACCTCTCATCTAGTTATGATCTCTTCCAAGAGTTCCCTACCGGTCACCTTGTGTATGACCTTTAAAATCCCCACCCTTTACTTCACTGCCACTCAACAAGTCTTTGAACAGAACCAAGCATTTATTGAGACTTCTTCAGTCAGATGATGGAGATATTACTTTATGGTGAAGTTGAGTGGGTCTATGACTAGGATTTATAATGAGCAGCATCTCAAATTTGTCAGTAGGTTTTATATTTTTAGTTTCAGTGTCCCTTTTTGCTAGAAATAGGTGAGAGCAACAAGGAAGAAGAGACAGAAAGCTAGTGACAGAATCATGTTCTTCTATGGGATCTCCTACCTAGATGAAGCCATCTAACTGTTGGAAGGATTTTGGTCAGCAGTTAATATCCCAGAAAGGAAGACTGAGAGATGGATAGATTAGATAGGTAGATAGATAGGTAGATAGATAGATAGATAGATAGATAGATAGATAGATAGATAGATAG